GCTGTTTTTTTTTAAAATGTCCGAATATATTATCTATACATATATATATTTATATAGATAGATTTATGTGCTGAAGAAGGATAGCGTTTCTTTGCTGACAAGGGAATTAAACGTGATAAATTGGCTTTCGGATGTACTCCATTCTTTAGTGCTACATGGAAATTCGTCCAGGATGTTTCGCTAGCTGTCTTGTTTCTTCCCCAGCATCTGACTGGCTTTCAGCAAAGCCCTTCAGGTTCAGACTGCACAGTGGGAGACTTTTAAATGATGATCCGAGCCCATCGGGTTTATTGAAACGCAGTCAGAAGCTGAGGAAAGGCGTAAGGAAACATCCTGGCAGAATTTACATACTGAAGGAGGAACCAGATAAAAGTCCAATTAAAATTAAAAAGCCGTAATATAAACATATTGAGCAGGCAAATGACAAACTAAGCCATCGTCCGTTTTATTAATACACTTTTTGATCCTCACATACTCCTGAGGGTTATTATATTCCTCCCTCGGTCTCCTGGCGTGAGGTCCCGTTGGTGAGTTTTAATAGTCAGTATCAGCAGCCAAGCTTACTGTGGGGAGCCCCGTATGTGACACTGTGTCCACACATGTGCACCTTCCAACACCTCTGGTCTCTGACTAGTGATCAGTAGCACCATCCCCATCCCAGGGGCACTTACTTACTGACACTCTACCTGAAATCAGATAATGCTGCACAGATTAGTTGGAACCCACAAACATAGTGTGGGCTGGGGTTTATTTACCCTCTGGGCCATGCAGGGAACTAAGTCAGTCACAGTGCAATTCTCTTCATTCCTGGAACGGAGAGAATAATCCCAGTGTAATCCTCCTTGGGTGGAGATGTAGAGCAGGAGGTACAGTAAGTGGCTTTCTCATGTCTGCTTCCCCTACTGACCAATTACATAAGATAATAAGTCATTATGATGAGGCTAAGCACAAAGTACTGATTACATAACACAATGTAGGTTTTGCTGTTGTACCCGCTGTGTTTCTTGTTGACTGGACCACTATTGTTTTAAATGGGGGAAAAGAAAGAAAATCTAAGTCTGGTCGTTTCAGACAATTCCTCGAGTAAGGAAAGAAAGAACATGTTGGAAACCATTAAAAACCGGCAGTTTGGATGTTGGGAAAAAGTCGCGATGAAAGGGAGTGCTGTCATTAAAAGTTTATCTGTATAATTGTCAAACAAATGAAAAATTAGTTGCATTTATGATGAGGCTCAGCACCAACTTTGTAAAGATACAAATCTCAGGCACTAAATCAAAGGGTAAGTTACACCTTGAAATATCTATCAATGCAACACAGCAACAACGTACCCTTTGTCGTGGGTCTTGTTTTGAAAACAAATGTATTCAGTGAATTGTTAGGAAACAAGAAAAAAATACAAAATGTCCCTAAGCATTCAATAATAATCTCTGCATTTGATACAGTGCCTTATCACGTTATCGAGATGTCTCAAAGCGTTTCACAGGATACGCTGTAAAGTGAATTGACTGTATATTTTGTGGGTGAAACGCAGCAGCCAATTGCGCACAGCAGCGTCCCACAAATAGTTGTGGATTGAGTGACCAAATTATTATTTTTTAAATTATTTTGGAAGTGCAGTATTTCCTGAATAAATTGACCACGTGTAACTTTGCTTTTTAAAAAAATACCCAAAGGGTTAACGCAGATTTAGTTTCCCGAGCTCTTGAAACACGGCCATTGAAAAGAAAAAAAGGATGTAGTTCTTTAAAACATAAAAGTAGTAACAGCTGCTGTTTCCCGTCGTGCTGTTTCTAGCAAAAAAAACTTTCTTAAAAAAAAAGAAAAAAAAGTAGATGAAAGAAGTAGGAATGGCTTCAGTCACTTCTCTTTCTCCCTTTTTTTCGAACTGCTGTGAAAACCTTGTGTGCAAACAGGTGGGTAAACTTTAATGGCATTCAGGTTTGGTAAGAGAACTTCCCTCTATTGTTGAATGAAGTCCAAGAATAGTTGAGGACCACACACAGACAGAACTCCAAGGCAGGGTCAACAGCTCAAAATGGCGGAGATTTCACACAGCACATCTGCTCATTGGGAGCGAGAGCAGACGGGCTTTACTGGGCAGTCAACAGCAAAGGCTTTAACAAGGGGTTGGGACTGAGTGTGAAATACGAAGCGAACACATGGCCCTTTGCTGAATTGTCTAAATCTGCAGAGAGAAAAGTATAGAGAAAAGGGGAGAGGAGGGGGAGGCCTGGAAACCCAGCGCTCCGCACAGGGAACGGGAGAAAAACACAATCAAGTGCAGCAGCTTTTTTTTCACAACTTTTAATTGCTGTTGCGGAGACTGGGATAAACTACTCATTACTGCTGTCTGTCTGAGACCAGGCCACATTTCCGTCAGGGGATGACTATGTCATTGTAAATTAAGTTGGGTTTGGGAAGCCTTATATTACAGGAGAATGAAAGCGGACTTAACCCTTTAAGGACCACCGCTGCATTTGTGTAACCCGAGTTATATTTGTTGTCAAATTGGAATAAGGTTTAACTTCCTTTTCAGTCACTTCCAAGTGCATGTTACTCTGTAACATGCAGAAAGAGTGCGTTGAATCGTTTACTTAAAGAACGCTACAAAATAATAATATTTTCTTCCGTTCTGAGCACATACAGTGTATAAAAAGTTCCAAACAAAACTGGAGGAACTGCCTTTCGCGGAGTTGGTGAGAATCAGCGTATTTTAAAAGTTGGAAAAGTTCCGGGGTGTGATGAGTATTAACTGGGAATGTTAACGGGGAATATAGGGACTGGAAGGGAATTTCAATCCTTAATTGCGCTCAAAGGCTTATCTGGTTTCCCAGGATCTCGAAACTTTTTCTCACTCACTTTTTTTCCTTCCTCCTTTAACATACAGGCTTTCAAACCCAAGTTTCATTTATCTTCTTCTCCCTTTCCTCATATTAACCTTGTTGCTGTCCTGTGCAACCGGTTTTGACCCTTTCATGTAGGGTTTTCTCAACAACAAAAAATCTGCCAGCGTAGAGGCAAAACTGTTCTGGAGCCGAAACCATTTCCGCAATGAGTGAATGATATGTTTATACTCAAAACACTAATCCGTTAAAGTGGCCGTTATCAGCTCAATGGGGGAGGTTTTGGACAAGCTCAATCCCTTCAACAGTCAGCTTTGAAAGCTCCTCTGTCACACCGCCACAGTTACCACTATTCACTCGAGCACAAACTAAACTTCTACAGCACATCTTTTTTTAAAAAAAGTTTATTTCCCTTTCTCTTTTTATTTCTCCTCCTGCAACTGTCTCGTGTTTCAAAGAGGCATCAGAATAGCCACCCTATGGCTCCCTAGGGAGACAGACAGACGGTGGAAGCAGAAAGTGTCATTTGTTTCAAGAACAAATTAGATCGATTTCTGCTGGAAAATAATATCGTGGGGGGGGGGGGGGGGGGGAAACAGTCTATAGTTTGGGACACGACATGTCAAGCGACTGCCAGGATGGTGGAAAGAGAACTAGAAGGATCTTGATCTTCTTTCACCAGCAAATTCTTATGTTGTTATGATAGGTTTCCCAAGCAGCCATTCTTACCATACAAGTGTTAGCTGGTTATTGGACAGGGTTTGATGGTTGTCAACCACACAGGAATCTAGCAGGTGTCACCGAAATAGTGATCAGGAAACAGCTCCGACCATTCCCCGAGCCCAGGGCACAGAGTTGCTGACTACTGACATTGCAGTGACAGGCAAACGGAATCAATACAGCAGCATTTCACCAATTAATACAATCAAAACAGCTTGGTCATAGATGTAAATTGTGCAGGAGTTGCCACTCTTGCTCCAACAATTTTTTTTCGCCAACAAAAATCTGTTTTGATCTATCTCCTCACTGAAGGTCCCTGAATCAGCAGGATCCTGGTTCACATTTTCCTCTTTATCCCAAATTTCCTCGAAATTCAATTGGCTGCTCATTCGATCGATTTGTCCATGAGAGGACACCGACACAGATTAGCTGACCCTGACTGACCAGGTAACATTCACTTCATTACAAAGCAATTATGTTTTGTGAAAGCGCTGTTTATTTTTACTTGAAAAGCACCACGTCAATGCAAACTATTCTTCTTATTAGAACCACACAGCGGCTTTCAAGAAATGTTGGGTCATCTTACCCGCTTGAGAGTAACAAATTGTTCCCTCCTGAAAATGACTACTGATTTCCACTGTGATGTGTGAAGTATGATAGGAGCAGAGGGAACCAGTAGGAGTGAGTGAGTGTGGCTGGTATTTGTGACGTACGCAGTGTCACTAATGTTACATGGTTTGTCTATCATGGGATGAGGCGGTGGGGGGGGGGGTGGCGGTGGGAAGGGATTAACAGGCTTACAGGGTGCTGTCAACAGATCCCGTGGTGGGGGGGATGACGGGGGGAGATTTGAAACAGATACCTTGAACTTTGTCACAGGAAAATTTATCAACAAAGAGAATGCAGAGGGATCCTAGGAATCAATACTAATGTGAGGAAAGAGGGGGGGAAATATATATACTGTGTATACTGTGTGTGTATATATATATATATATAAATAAATGCAACAAGATTCATGAGCAATCGTAAACACAAGGATGAAATGAAAAGATGTCATGATTTTCAGATAAAAATGAAGCTAAAAATGATGTTGTTTAAGACACTTTTTTAAGTATGTGGATTATACAAGTGATGAAAGCAGCTCTAGCGACTTGAGCTAGGAGTTCGCATTCCTTCCAAGCTTTGATTGTAATAATGTGGTCACTCAATCCACGACTGTTTGTGGGGACGCTGCTGTGCGCAATTGGCTGCCGCGTTTCGCCCACAAAATATACAGTCATTACACTTTACAGTATATTCTGTGAAGCACTTTGAGATGCCTCGAGGATGCGATAAGGTTCTCTATCAAATGAAAGGATTATTATTATTATTGATTCCCATTTGTCTGAAGTTTGCGATGATTCGGATTCGTTGCCCCTCTCTCTCTCTCACTCTTACCTTCCACCCAGAGTTGTTCGATGTCGGTCTCGATGCTGGCCACCCTCAGGCCCACAGCGAAGGCACCGAACACCAAGAGGCCGATGAAGAGGAACTTGCCGCAGTGCTGCTGGATACTGCAGCCCAACTCGAAGAGCAGAGCCTGGAACCGGGCTCGTAACCACAGTGGTGCCCGTCGCCCCTCAGCCTTCCCCTGGAGACAGAGAAGCCAAACCCGGCTTTAGGCACAGACTCCAGACAGCAGGGAGGGCGGGGAGACGAATAAAGTGGGAGTAAGAGTGGGGGGGAGGTGAGGAGACAGCAAAGGTGAAGGGAAGAGAGAGTGGTGAAGAACAAGGGAGAAGTTGAAAAGGAGGTTAGACAGGAGGAACTGCAAGAGAATAGGAAAGAGTGAAGGGAGAGAAGAAAGGAAGAGTGAGGGGTCTGAAAGAGGAATGGAGACAATGGGAAAAGGAGGATAGGAAAGAGGAGGAGAAGAAATGAAATTGGTGAGAGAGGGATGGCGAGAGGAGAGAGAGGGAGAGCAAGGGGAGAGAGAGAGAGGGAGAGGGATGGTGAGGGGAGAGAGGAATGGGAGGGATGGTGGAGAGAGAGAGAGGGATGGCGAGACGGGAGAGGGTTGGGAGGGATGGCAGGGGAGGGCGAGGTGGCCAAGTGGAGAGGCAGGGAAGGAGAGGGGGAGGGGGAGGGCGAGGGGAAAGGGAGGGCGGGAGAGAGCGAAGGGTGGGGGGCAAGGGCGAGATGACGAGGAAAGGGAATAAAATTGGAGGGAAGGAAATATCAAGCCAGGTGGAGATGGGGAACGATGTAAGAAACGATGAGAGCGATAAACTGTCCCAGAAAAGGTCTCAAATGTGAAGAGGGAAGAATGTTCAAAAGGAAATAACTCACTCGCCATAAGCTCAACACATTCACTCACACCTTTCCTTTCCTCGCCTCACTTTGCCTCTTCATCTGTGCCACCCCCTCTCTATTCATCCTCACTTTCTTCACTCCTTTGCCCCACATTCATTCATTGCTCCATTTCTCCATTCCCTCTTTCCCCTCATTCACTCGTCTTTCTCAACACTTTTCCTATTGGGTGTCTAAACCAGTTTTAGTTAAGATTTCTCTCTCTTTCATAATTCTTCCTGGTTTCTTCTCCATTGACTTCTCTTCTGCCTGTTATTACACACACCTTCTCGCAGCCATTCATTCCACCTTTCTCTCTGGTTTCATCACTTTAGAGAGTTTTATTAGAGTTTGGCCAATTTTGAGGTGTTTCGATTCCTTTCCTTCACTGCCCATTATTATTTTCCTCTCTCTCTCTCTGTGTCTATCTATCCATTTTCTTCCATTTCTTTTTCATTCTTTCCTGACATTCTCTCATTTCTTCTTGGATTTTCTCTTATCAAATGCACATCATCTCTCTCTCTCTCTGGTTGTCAAGTTCCTTCAGTTTTATTCTCTCCTTCCATAAATCGC